TCAAAAGTTGTTCGACCTCTCCGGGCAGTACAACTACATGTGCCGTGAAAATGGCCCCCAGTATAAAAATTAACACGTGTCAAAGAGATGCTTGTCTCGGACTAGTCAACAACGGCACCACGGTTTTGGAAGTACGATGCAGTGGAACAAACACCAGATGCTTAGTGACAGAACAACCATTAGCTACACTAGGAATAAGGAACAAAGAGTGGTAGACAGCAAGCGTTGTGCACTCATGGACTCCTGCAAGCCACAACTTTCCTACCCGAACTTTCTATCGGTAATAGCTATCCTGGAATCGCAAGCTGTTGGGAATCCTGCGGTGGGGGGGGGGGCTGGATGCGATTGCGTGTCTTCAGACTCAAGGTGCCTGTTTTACAGGAGGCAGTAACGGCTGATGACAACATCTATCATGTCTTTCCCTGTACGCGATGGAAGGAACAAGTAAAGATACGCGTACAGATCAAGCGACCGATGACAAAAGAAATGTCTTATGCCACTGCTTTACAACCGAATATCCCGGTGAAACTACCCCACATGGGTGACGCCGAATGTACTAGCTCTTTATCTCCTTTCTGCATTAAAGAGCAATTCCATCAAGACTGCAAACAGGACGGCTTTGTGGAGCGCAAACCGAAGACTGACGTTAGAATGCGCCTCGAAAAAATGCGGGAAGTTTACGTCGCACGGTGCACACCTCATGTGTCTGCTCGCCCGATGAATCCCAGGTTGTACGCCACTGTCAGGACTACGACCTCTCCCAGAGTTTCCGCAGTATCGAAAAGTTCCTACCATTCATTCTACCATCTCGTAAGCCAACCAACCACCGAACACATAGAGTGATGGCAGAAGTGCAAAACGGTGTTTCTGCTGAAATCATGCTGTATATCGAAGAAATCGTGTCAGAAGCATCGTGGAATTGTCAATGAAAAGTTCACGATAGAGGATACCTAAATAACAGGTTGCTATGCACGCAAACGGGAAGCCGTAGCAGAAATACTTTGCAAGTCATCAGCAGAAGTGGTGACAGCGAAAATCGACATGCGACTCCGACACTTTTGTTGCACACTGTTTTTTGTCACGAGAGCGGAGCAAGCTGAAGTTTATGAAAACAAGAGCACACGTGAAAATTGCGTTGCTTTGTGAAATGTGAACTACAGCCTTCTTCATTCAAAATAATGGGCATCTTGAAACACGTCCACAATATTCATGGAGGATTGAAACGCACGTTTCAACAAGAGCACAACGTAACTTCGGACTTTCTTTGGCCAGACATAAGTCATATCATCGAGGCATACTTAGAGTGGTACAAGGGCTTTTTAGTGATGGTTTTGATGATTTCAATAGCATTGTTTTTCAGCTACCTTTACTCAACACTGCATGCAAGCGATTCTTTGCTTGGTGTATGAAAGGTATTACCCTAATCCAGTTTTGGATAGCGAAAACGTCAGCACACATGATTTTCAGCTTATTTGTCGCTGTTTTTCGCACTTGTTGTAAGACGCATGACAGCAAGAACTATGAAAAACGCTTTGAATCCAATTTCACGACAGTAAATGCACTGTTTGAGATAATTGAGCACGGCGGATCTCTAAGAAGACGAAGAAAATGTGAAGAGCCGTTCTTGATCCAAGAGTTGAAGTACAACCGCGCTTGTGTCAAACTTACGCCTACGCTTCCAACGGGGAAGGATGTTCGGCGCAAGATTCGTAACTTCATCAGGGAAATTGTTCGAATCACAAAGACTAATACTCTACAGGATGACTTTGACAAGGTAGAAGGAAATCGTCCAAAAAATTATGCGAGGAGGGAAGCCACCCTTCTAGAAGTTTGGTGGAGAACATCTGGTTGAAGACGAATCATACAAGAAATCACTCGCGTAGTACAGCGGAAGCCCTAGCGATGTCACACGACACCTACAGATTTTCAATTCCAGCGAAAACGGTGACATAAGACTCAAGGAACATGCTCTTCAGCGAAGACTTCCTAGAGATATCAATAGATCCGGTATTCTGCAGCGACTGTGTTCGCGAAGAAATCGAGTTTTTTGACGAGATCATCGGGAGCATGGGGAGTGAAATGACCAACGCTGACATTCAAATCAGTAATGAATACCACAGAGACGGATACGCCGAGTCCAAGGATGTTTTCGCCGCATTCCAAAGAAGTATGGGAGCAAGTATGGCAGGACTCCAAAGAAACATCGAAGCGAGCTGGGCCGATCTCCGAAAAAGCGTGGAAGCAAGTATGGCAGATCTCCAGGAGGAAATCACAAAGCAGGAAGCCAGAGTCACAGAATTGGTCGAAAAGATATATGCTTCAAAAGGAGATGTCAAGGAGGTCAGGGCGTAACTTCAGAAGAAGGGCAGCAAGGATAGTGACGGAGATGGATATCTCCCAACACAGGCAGGTGGACCCCCATCGGATGCGACTTGTTAGACTTTGATTACGACGGCGGTTATTAGCTCGGTAAGGATGGTAGTCCAGAAAAAGATCCCGTAGAAGATATCCTGAAAAAGGACTATTCGAAAGTCACTCTGGAAAAGGACGAAGCGAAGAAAATAAAGAAGGATTAGGTGTACACTGAAATTGAAAAGAAAAGACGATGGTTCTTTTTGGAGATTGAGGATCTCGAAGGCGCGCTGTACTGGAACTGTGACTTGCCGCGGAGAGCGTTTGCCTCTGTCAACATTATGAGGGAAAAGGACGCCTTTATTAACTGTTTTCTCTGCAACCAAAAAGGGCATCTTTACGCTGAATGTTGCCCCATCTTCAAGGAATTTGAAAATAGAGAAAGAGAAATCTGGTATCTAAACTGCCTCGATTTACGTGTGGTTCTTTGCCACGCGGTTTACACGACGATAAGCTCCACCAAATCCGTTGACCACACGTTTATTGGCGCTACGCGCGCAATCCTCAAGCTTGGATAATTAAACCTCACAATACAATAATAGAATCGACCATTGAGCGAAAGAAACAATCAATCACAATATTAACCGACATTTTCAGAGGAATGGCACTAAGTGAGAAGGATGAGAGAATTCTGGGAAGATCAAAGTCTGAATTAAATCTATCACTCAGAAAGAAATCCGAAGCGCAGGCGCACGTTGACGGCGGGTGGAAATGAGTGCACGTCGGCCGCATCCCATGGTTGAAGCCAACGGAGGGATTTAAGGCGGAGTCGCGGGGTTGCACAGAATTCCTTCTGATCTCTCTTATCTATATATATTGTTATTCTAAAAGATATGTATTTTTGATAAGCTGGGTTTTGCTTTCCCTTCTCTAGCCTTTCCCATGGCTTAGCGCTTTCCAGTCTTTCCTGTATTATGATTCACCAGGAATGGGAACTGATCGCGTGGAAACCACGATACACCCGGACCGAAAATGTTGAGAAATGGCGCAAGAGAATCTGAGGGAAGCAGGTGCATATCATTCAATCTGAGCCCTTCGGTGAACTTTGCAAATTCCAAGGACGAATTCCGAAAAGAGCCAATCTTTGTTGAAGAGCATCTTCTTCAGCCTTCGAGTGCTCTGATTTGACGCGAACGAATTTGCTCGCAATAGTCCGGGTAGTCGCACAGTGCACTGTGATCACGACAAGAGTTGCAGACTGTATGGTATTTCTTACAAAGTGACCCTCCTGCACATATTAATTCGAGACACACAGTGCATCTGCCGGTTATCTCGATCAGCTGTCTCCGAATTGCAGGGTCTTTTACCGCAGTACAAGAATCTGAGTAGTGTGATCCTATGGCTTGGTCAAAGGTGCACCTAATGAAATGTTCTTGGGCTTTACTAATGTGCCCATTATTATATCTCCTTGGAGGACAAATATATTCTTCTTTCAATTGCCGCAGAATTTCCTCAAAGTATGTAGCGCTTGTTGGGTGCTTCTGAACTTTTGCTCAATTCTGTGTACCATTTCCCCTTCTTGTTCGCCCTCAGGGAGGCCGTTTGGGTCGTCTTCTTGATCAGTCTCTCTCATCAGTATGTCTTCTTCGGCCTCCTCGTTTTCTGGCTCTCCATTATCTTCCTCATCGAATTCTTCGATTTCTTCTGCAATCCTTTCTTCAGCGGGTTCATTATCTCCGACGACGACGACAACTTCATTTTCGTGATGTTCTTCTTCCTCTTCGGCGCCTTCTTCTTCTGCGAGTTCTGCGTCCTCAGCTTCGACAACTTCGTCTTCGTGTTGTTCTTCTTCTTGGGCGACTTCTTTTTGTGCGAGTTCGGCATCTTCTGTTGCGACATCTTCGTCGGGCTCTTCAACACCTTCCATAAAACCTGCGTTACCCTCGATAATGTCATTCTCTTCGCGATTCCCTTGTGTTTCCTGGTTGTCGCTTCTCTGGTATTGTGGATGGCCGTGGTTTAGGCAGATACTTTCGCCCTTTAATGCGTTCATTACAGAGTTCTTCGATTCCGTAATGAGTTGCTCGAGGCGACCGAGCATGTGGAGCATGTCCCTCTCAAATGTAAAAGTATTTTCCTTTTGTGCTGTTTGGACTTCTAGGCGCACGTTACCGAGGGTGGACTAAAGAGCGTCGAGCGTTTGTAAGTGATCTTAAATGGCGTTTTCTCTCATGGGTAAATCCATCACCAGGGTCACGTCTTCGCTAACCTTTTGTGGATGGCTCACAAGAGATTCCCAGAATTCTCGTGACATTTTTCTGAGGCAATGGGTATAGGAGGAAGTGAGTAAAGAGTGCGTAAATGTGATATACAATAGAGAAGTTTCAGACGAAGGTGGTCTACTTCTAAGCTCAGAAAGTCAATTTCTAGAACATGTTCCTTGAAAGGTGTAGGAGAGACGCATGACCGACGGACTTTCCTTTCCAGAGCAGTAACGGCTTGTGTGCAGGTATCATAATCGAGGCAGGATGACAGGATCCTATTGTAGAGCTGATGCGCTTCTGGAAGGTGTGGAATGGCATTTTTCAGTTGTTGCAGTTCGCGTTGCGTCCGATGGAGTTCGTTCTCTACGTTGTCAGCGGCTCCTCCGCTCTGAAAAATACACTAAAGAGATGAAGTTTCTCGGGAAAAGCGCACCTAGTTAAGTACCTCTGTGGACAAGTTCGCTTAGATTTTTTTCCTGGCGCATCTACGTGGGTCTGTGGATGTTGGTGGTAAATCTAAAGAATTAAAGCTAATCTATATAATTTTGAAAGGATATTTGATTATTAGTGGGTTGAACCACTTTTTCAAGGCTGTATGTAGAGTTGTTTGTTTTTTTGTGAAGGCGTATGCAAGACTGCGTATAGCGATACGAAAGGGTAAAGTAGTCAGACGCCAAATGATGTACAATATCAGCTTAAGGAGGCGCATTCCAATAGTAGTGAGAAATATGTAAGTCAAGAAGATTGAGAGTGCAACTGCCACAAGGACCATGAGTAAGTTCTTGTACCAATAAAGTAATACGTGAAAAATATGTCCAAAATCGGGCCACGAAGAATCATGGCAGTTGCTACTGCTGCCTTGTAGTTTAGACAGCAACGGGTACTGTAGACTGTTGACATATTTAAGGACACCTTCAAACTCGAAGGGGTGCTTTAGGGTACCACAAGAAATTGTGCAGTCTAGAAGCTGGCGCGCGGATCCCAATTGGAATCGTAAAGGTCACAGTGAATCGCTAGGTGCACAAGGAATGACAAAGGTGTGAGAAGCGCACAAAACTTTTCCGTGAGTTTCCTTTGGTGATATACACCTCACGTTCGCTATGGCGCCTTTCGCGCAATTATAAGAGCCATTCACTGAGGTGCTTTCGATTGTGCAGCCTAGATTTTGTACCTCTAGTAGGTGTACCTTTTTTGAAAATTGATGAAAATTTCCGAAGATACAAGGGTCGGGATTTTAGCTGTAAGTGCGGCATTTTGGCCCTTTTTTAGTTCCCAAGAGGGACTTTTTACGGGTAGTTTGAGTTCGATGTGATTGAACTCTTCTGCTACGTCCGAAGGAGGACATTCACATCGAACTTTTGTTTCAGCAGCTGCGCACTTACAGTTTTCTGCGAAGGTACAGTTTGCGTTGCTGCCGCTCGCTGGTTTCCGCAAAAAAGATTCGGGATTATCTTGCCCGTATAAATGGCTGTATCTGTGCCATCAGTGATGAACTCATTGCTCAATTGTGGCATAGGGGGGCATCGTGAGGGATGTCATGGTGATTTGTAGAAGTGGAAGATCTATTGGAACGTTGGGAAGGAGTCCTTCTATGTACCACTCTCGACCAGGGTTTCCGTTGGCGGTTTCAATTAACACTTCTAACTTCACCTCCTCTGTCCAGCGTAGGCTCCCAAAACCTACACAGGATTCATAGCAATCCGTTCGCCCAGGATATGAGTTACCGATTTGGAGTTTCGGAATAAGATTATAGCTATTTATACTGGCGCACTTATCCCCCGAACATGATCCTCGGTAGGGACAACGCTTGCTGTCAATAACGTGAGTCGGAACGTGTGAAGTACTCTGTCTCTTCTTCACAACGTAAGTACAATCCCATCCATCTAACCTTGACATTGGCGACGAGAGAAAAGTTGTAGGTTAGGCGCAAACACGCGTGTTGTGTGAAGCTATTAAGTTTCAATACTTCTGTTAGCCTAACCGAGCAAGATTCTTTGCCATTATTGTTGGTACAGATAGTGGCATGATGTTGCAACACGTTAACCTCCTGGCAGGACAACGCAGGGCCTGCAGCATAGGCTAATAATGTTATCACTATGGCAAGTGCTGCTGCTAACCGTGCGTTTAACGAAGATCGAGAGCGGGTCCTGAGTTTACGCAAGAAGCCTAGACAACCGTGCTGCACGAGGTAAATTAAATTTTCTGAGCAGCAATGAAGGTCCAATGACTAGGATGCGCAGCGGTTTTCCAACAGTTACCGGTACGTACAGGAATGCATAGAGCAGGGCAACGATTCCATAAAGTCCTAGTACGAATATGAAAATTGCTCCGAGTGGCCGACACTCTGGATTAAAGAAAATGGAGGTGCATGCCCAGCAATCTATGTTTGCGCAAAAATCTATGCCCTCGCATAGTGTTTCGATAACTGCAGGCTCGTGATTTACGTGCCATTTAAGTATAACGTTGTGATCATGCAATGTTACTTCTGGTGGGAAGCGTATTAGTTTTGGCTTATCAATGAAATGTTCAATTTTGCAGACCGTATCGGCGCAAATTTGTGGTTGTGGTTGGTGGTTTAGCTGAGTTTATTATGACGCCTTCTTCAGTACAGAATAATTGCATGGCCGTTGAGTAGTTGCCCAGCGTAGATCGGAATGAGGAAAGAATCATTATGTAGAAAAGGAACCACTTTGACGATTTGGGTTTTGCACTAGCATAGATTGTGAGGGTGTGAGCGTTATTCTGAGCATAATTTCTTGGTTGACGTTGACGTAACTTATATCGATGGGTATTCCTTGATTCGCGACTCTCTGGCGCGACCTCTGGCTCATTGGTTGCAGTATGCGGGCTAGGTGACTTATCTGGCGCTTTCTGAATTACTAAAGGGCTTAGTAGATTTACGAAACGGCGAATCTTCTTCTCGCAGGTTTATGACTCTGGAACGCCTCTACCAGCCACGAATCGTCTGAATGCGTTTGAAAATTCTTCTACGGTCATGCTATGTACAACTTCCAGATGAATGAGACGTGTAGCTGTGCACGTGAAAATGCACCCATGAATCTTTTGGGTAATCCCATTTTCCGTGCGAGGTGGTAGGTCAGAAAAGTCCAACCCTATGTGTTGGAACGTATAACTTCTTGAAACCCTTTGACTCGGTAAGTCTGGGGTGCTCGGGTAACGATATGGTAAGGCGTTGAATTCCTACATGGTTTAGTTTAGTTTAGTTTAGTGTGCGTCGACCGACGCGCTTCTATAAAAGATCAGCACTAGCCTGGGGTAGGGTCTGATTGCGTAGTAACAACAAACTTATGCATATCAAATTTAGATCCAAACGAACATAACGGATAGTAACAAAAAAATTAAAAAAAACAATTCTTTGAAGCACTTGATAGAACTGGACAATTATAGGAAAAAAAAAGATAGGAAAAAGATTGAGCCCATTTGTGTCCATACGTATGAGAAAAAGGCACTTGCTGCTTGGATGGTGGTTAACTGCTCGTCCCTAGCCCAATACGTCCCAGCGACACCGTGTCAGCTCCGGCCCGCATGCGCGTGAGTTCGGACACGATACCCTCCTGCACCAGTCGTCTATGGTGCCCAGTCGCCACTTCAGGGGTCATAGGGGCTTACCGCAACTTCGAGACACGGGTATACCGACCTCCCTCGTGGAAATGGAAAGCTAGGGGAGTAAAGTGTACGACCCACATGCATGCGCCTGGAGCCTTCAACCAGCCACCGAACCATTGATCAACCATCAAGGAGAAAACTTCCATCAAAAACATCAAGTAGCTGGTCAGAAACCTAGAATAGTTGTGGAGTATAAGTTCCAGACAAAATCAGGGTGGGAAAGATCAGGATATTGGATCGAACACACTAGAAAACTGTTTGGAGAGCAATCATTCGAGTGATTCATGAAACGAGTAGATGAGGATGGGGCAAGCTCAGCCTCAAACCACATCAGGAATGCCTAGTGACTCTAGAACATGGGATACAGTTCGTGGTCAATTTCCGAACTTATTGGCGCTATTTAGGAATCCAATAGCGCTCTCTTACCGTGGCCATCGTATGCTCCACGCCTTTATGAAATTTTCCATGAGCTTCTTTTATAAGTCTGTGAGCAAGCAATGTGTTCAGCATGATAAAGACCGGGTCCTTCGTATCCTGAAGCAGCGCTGAATACTTAAGGCGTCCCCGTGAATGCCATATTCCTTGTTCGTCTTTGTATAGTCGCAATGTTCTCCATTGACTTGCGGTATGCTTCGGTCAAGTATACCGAGTGGTGGTTACGAAGGAGTACCACCTTTGCCGCTTTCAGCTCACTACTTTGTAGTGGCCTGGGAGTGTCCAGGACATGTGGAAGCTCCAGAACCTTTTCCAAGACCTTTGCTTGTATCTTTCCTGATGAACGTAATGTCTTCTCAATGAAGCGTAGAACAAGTGCTGCAATACGGTTACCGGCGAGGAAGGAGCTATACCTATTCCAGTCCAATAATTCAGTAATGATGGTGCTTTCTTCAAAAGTAGAAGTCGCGCATACAGCTTCTTGGGGTATTGTTTCCTCGCTGTTTGGATCCACTTCGAGTCCACCATTTACGAGCGTAGTTGGGTAGAATTTCACAGGCCAAGAGTTCAGAGGTAATTTTAAGAACTGTGGGCCAGTCCGCCAGTCGCTCATGTTCAACTGTTCTCGATCCATCCCTCTCGTCCTATAATCTGCTGGGTTTTCTGATATGTGGACATACCCAATTGTAACATGCACTCCCTCTTCACGTAAATTTTCTACGATCCTTCGTATTTCGCGAATTCGGTCCTCTACCAGAATTCCCGCATTCCCGTGCTTCTGTGA